ACACCTAAATTAAGAGAAAAAGGCGGAGAACACAAAAGTGTCCTTTGAAAGCAATGAGAGCAGGGTCAGTTTGTGCTTAAAATGATGTCGAGCTCTCCTTGTGTTCTTCATGATAAGAACAACAAATTTCCTGTACAGAGACACAGAGCTGCTATCACATTTATTGGCAACTGCCCTCAAAAGTAGCAGGAGTAATTAACAGATATGAGAACGAGGTGTAAAAATACACTTTTCCACAGGGATAAACTAACAGACACACACACACACATAGAGACATCAAAGCAAAAGAGCTCATTATCTACACTGGCCAATACTTTCTATGATAAATGATCACTATCTGTTTAGGTTTTGACTCATGTTACCTTTCTCTCAGTTATAATAAACCTTTTGCAGCACCTTTGAAGTCTTATCCCAATTTTTCCTTACTTTCATGTACTAACTCTCAGAGATCCAGGTAACACTTGAGAGGCGGTGCTTGACCCCTGGTGCAGCTTCGAGTGCATTCAGGTGTGCTTTGTCATTCAAATAAACACTAGTTTATTGTTTTGCAGACTCATTCAAATTCTACCTCCTTTCAACATGGGAAGACTTGTCTGTCTTTTATTGGCATACATTACTTGTATTTACACTCACCGGCCCACTTTATTAGGTACACCTGTACAATTGTATGCAATTCAATGAAACACTTCCGCCTTAACATTTGTGTTTGTGAAGCTCAAAATGCTTCAGTTTTTGGTGAAATTGTTAGAAATGTATAAATTCAATTATATGTGCATTAGGTCATAGTTAAAGGTGCTGTTGCACTGGACAACATTATATACTGAAACATAGCACTTTCTTCCTACTTTATTCATTCCTGCATATCTCTGACCCCTACGTGGGTTATCTGTGGTACACGCAGCTGATTGGAATTTAAGTGGTTGAGCCTCGGGTCTGTTCTCAGCTAATCTGGCTGAGAGTATAAGATATTTAACATGCTTAAAATTCAGGCTACTTTAACCTTCTGGCCATCTCTTGTGTTTGATCTGAAATATGATGTGCATGTGTGTGCATGTGCATAGACTACACCTGAAAACCTTTGGTATTTTCATATATGTCGATACATATTGAATGAATATCTCTGGTATTTCTGCTATTGGCTCAGCTTTGTTCAGGCACGTGGTATGAATACTGATGAGAAAGTATGCACGCACACACATACACACACAAACATATACACACAACCATATACACAAGAATATGGCTTAAATGCCATGACATTTTGCCACACATGGATCTTGTCCATTATTCATGAAGTGCTAATACCATCGCTGAACAGACAAGAGAATGTCTCTCTCTCAGATGTTTGGGTTTTACTAAGTATTTGCTTATGCTGCATGTGTGGAGTGTAAAAATTCCAGAGATATTTTCTGTCTCAGGGGTGCACAAGGTTTAATTAGAAGCTGCAGACAGTTTTTGTCTGTTTGTTTGGCCCCCAAAAGACAAACTATGTGTGTGTGTGTGTGTTAAAGAAGGAATTATATATCTATATATTATATCTTCACTGCTTTGCTTCACTGCTTTGTGTAAATTCTTTATATATGTAAAAGAGAATATACACAAAGCAGTGAAGATTATTAGGCTATAATGACAAAATGAAGGAGGGTGGAGGGTGAGAAATAAAGTGGAGCAGAGGAAGCTATACAGCTACACGACACAATGTCTCATACTTTACTAGCAAAGGATGAGATTGTTTGAGGAATGACTTGCAGAAACTGTGCAGCTCCAGAAGGAGTCTGATCAGGACAAAAGGAAGGTTTGGGAGTCAAAGCTCACTGTCTATAAATACATGCTCAGAACATGATCTCAAGCCAAGACTGAGCAAGTCAAGGTGGAGCAGAGAGAAGAAAGCGATTGAACTTGTGAAGAGAGATTTGCTCAAGGCAGCCTGGTTTGAAGAGTGTGCGGCAGGCCTGTTCAGAATATATTAAAAGCTTCCGACATAGCTGAGAGAGCAATGCTGACAATGAAAAGCTGAAATAAACAGTTATAGCTGAGAGTGAAAAGGAAGAGCACTTCTGCAAGAACACACTGATGACCTCCTGTCTGAAAGACTCTGGAGGAAAGAGGCTGAATGACAGAACTGCTTCAGAATGACTCTACTCTGCATGGCCCTGACTGAGAATGAGGAGAAGTGTCTTCCTCTATGTTTTTAAAGAAGGACACAGATGGTAAGTCAAGTCAAATAATGCAAGTCAAAACAGCCTTGGGCTCTGGTGATGTTCAGTCTCAAGAAATGCCAGTATCCTGGATCAACAGACAGAGGAGCCATTGATCTTTCAAAATACCAAATCTGCTGAGAGAAATATAGGAGCAGTAAAAAGAGCAAGTTGCAGCTGTGGATGGTCTCTATTCAACCTTAAACATTGTGGTGAGCTCGAACTACAGAGTCTGATGAAATCTAAATGAACAATCTCTGCAGAGTTTCGCCACCGGAAGCCCTGTGTGTTTTAACTTTTTTAAAATATGTATATATATATTTTTTCATCTAGACCTGATATGTAAGAGTTCTCAGTAAACACTGTGGTGATAACACTTCCTAATGTCACAAACTAGATTTGCACATTTTACAAATGTTCATGATTATAAGCAGCTATGATAAAATTATGAAAAGTGGAGTATCAAGCTGATAAAACAATGCTGAGCGTGGTGATGGAGCTGTCAAAGTGGATCAGGAACAGAACATCAGCATTAAGCAACAACTGAAATTAAGCCAAAAGATTCAAGAAGAAATGAGATTATAGCTCAGTGGAGGAGAGAAGAAAACCACACACTTTTTTCTGCCAGACTCTGAAAAAAATTCTGTTAAACTCAGGCTCAGCTCAGCAAAGACCTGTACAGAGTCAGACCAGTCTTGGGGATGTGAACAGAAGCAGCCTGGAGACTAAGGATCAGCTGAACTAGTAGCGACAGTGGCAAGCAAACATGATGGCACGGTGGGTGAAGACTTCAACAGCAAATTGCAGAGAAATAACACTTAGACCCATCAAATTCTGAGGCAAAAAACAGCCAGATAAAAATCACTTAAAGTGGAACTTAATAGTCTATGAAAATCTGGTTTTAGCTGACCTGCCAGACAGAGCAGAGTTGTAGCCATGTTGTTGGGAAGGAAACAGAGAATGCAAAGATTCCAAGTCATTTAGAGACAAGAACAAACTACTCTGTTCCAAAATTAATTGCTGCTAAAACCATGTAAAAAGCCAAGACATTTGTATAATTCCCCTCAGTAAAGACTCATCATTAGCCCTTGGTCTTTACTGTATTACACTTGCAGCTACTGCTAAAGAAAATATCCAGTGGTATTTATTATATGTAGGCGGGTGTGTGTGTGTGCACATGTATATCTGACCTCTTCAGCCTCAGTGGGACTGCATGGGCCTGCCCTCTTTAAGTAGATTAGCTTGGAAAAAGAACTGAGCGTACGTGGTTGCCTGGATACAAAAAGCATCATTAAGCGCAATTATCAGGCACTTCAGCTCACAATCAACAAGCTTCATCACAGATTTCAAAACAACATATCATTAACGATGGTGACATACTGTACAGCGCAGGTAAGAGTAGGAGGATGGGACAAGAGAAGGAGAGTGGATACGCTGAGGAGAGGTTTACAGTGAACAAGCAGAGAGGGAGTTCACCGTCATATACGTTTCTGACAGTCACGTGATATGACCGACAATGTGAACATTTTGCATATATGAACTGATGGGTGAATCATTTCAAGAATTAAACTAATGAAAGTATGCTGATGAAGTGGCGATGGCAGAAAAACAACTGATAAATTGCATTAAAAAAATAAGGGAAGGGCCTTGTCTGTGCATAGGGCCTGGACTTTGACTATGAAAAGTTGCAGTCAGACCATATAACTTAACAAAAGTAGTGAGACAATTTTACACTGCGCTAAGAAAACCACTGGGACAATTTGATAAAGCAAACAGAGCTAAGGCAAGAGCACATGCAATCACAGAAAGCGAGCGCAGCCTAAGTCATTATACAGTGCATTTCCCTGAAGGTACAGCTGGCTGTAAATTAAAAAGAGCAGAGATCCACTGTACAATCCAGAGAGACAAACAGAGAGATGGCGATGGCGAGAGAGAATAAAAGAGAGCGAAAAAGCAGAGACGAAGTCTGGGGACACAGTTTCTGGCTGAACTTCAAAAGTGACATAACACAGTTGAAGACTGCAAAACTTTTTTTTAAGTATGTCTACAGAAATACTATACTGTATATACACAAAACACTTTATAGGTCACTAAAAAAGTTATAAAATGACATCAAATCAAATAATGGGACTGTTCTGTACACTATAGCACATCAATAATGATAATCCAATAATGTACATTAATGTGAAATGGGACATTCTGCATAATGAGTACTTTTCCTTTTAGTACTTTAAGTGTATTTTAATGCTAGTACTTTTGTACTTTTAGTTAAGTAATGCTTTGAATGCAGGTCTTTTACATGTAACAGAGTATTTTTACACTGCGGTATTGTTACGTTTTCTTAAGTAAACAATCTGGGTACTTCTTCCACCACTGCTCTATAGTGATTACAAAGGTTTATGTGGTATTTTCTGACAATAACAGCCCCACTAGCTTCAAGCGGCAGCACTTAGCTCACTTAACTTTTGTAACAGAAAGTATGTTGCCACTGATTTAGAGAGTTATGCTCTAGACTCCACATTGTGGCCCTTTTCATTTGTTTAGCCTATGCTGTGAGATTTAATCGTGCTGAATCAGCTATTAGCTGTCCCTGTTTGAAATGAAAATGAAATGAAGGCAAACAAAGGCTGAATACTTCTAGATTACAATGCTCAGTCACATATTCTAGTTTTATGTCATGCAGTAATTTGCAGTGGAACACTGGTAGCACTATTAATAACAAGTGGAGGAGGGCTGGCTCTCAGCTGTCTTTATGAAAGCGGATTATGAGAAGTTTAATTTAATCAGATAAGGACGCCTTCATTTAGGAGCTAACGCAGCTCCAGTCACGAGCCTGACAGGCTTCCAATGAGACAAGTCCTCCCCCTGCTGGTGCTGTTCACAATCTGCTCACTAGTTTCTTCACTGTAACCAGCTGGCTGACGCTTCCATATTTAAATCAATATACAATGATTGCATTTTACATTTATGGGCATGTCATCCAGATGCCATACATTATAAACTGATACAACATGTTGACTGTACTGAAGACTTTTTCAGTACCGCAAATAGTTTTTTTTCCAAGTTATTTTATGTACAGTTTAAAATGTCCTGTTTTCAAATATTTAATTTGTAGTTAAATACTAGATGGGTAAAGCAATGCAATAAAATTATTTTGGCAGTGATATTTGAGTGTTGGTAAATCAATTTGGTGGCTCTTGGTTTTACTGAACTGTCACTTTGGTGTGTCAAAGGAAGATGAAGTACTCTCTGTCTTTCTTTTATTCTCAGCCCGGGCTGTTTTGAGGTTTTCTAAGGATGTGGTTGAAAGCTGTGTCAGCAGACATCTGTCATGCTCAAGTGCCCTGAAAACTCCACCAACAAATAAACGCATCAATCCCACAGGTTGTGTAAACGATTAATGTTGAAGTGTGTTGTTGCTGTTTTACGAAAAAGCTCACTGCATTTTCTCTGCCACAAATCACTGCAGAACGTCAGTCGAGATGTCAGGGATGGACGCCCCCCTGGTGGGCCACAACCAGACTGGAATCTCTCCAATAGACAATGGGACCTTTCTTCGTTTCTCCCCGACTTTTGCTTCCACGTCAGCAGCCGCCTCATCACCAGGACGACCAGGCAACGTTTATGTTTACGTGTGGCTCTTCCTCGGCCTGCTGGTTTTCCTGTTGATGCTGCTCATCATCTCTCTCCACAGGCTGAAGAACATCATCTCTTCCTCCTCCTCTCTCCCTGACTACAGCAGTGAGGGAGGGAGCTCCTTCACCAACATGGAGATCTGTAGCATCTCATCTCAGAGGTCCACCATCTCCTCATTGTCCACCTGAGGGCGATGGGAGGGAGCACATACTGTACAGACACATATGTCCATGTGCATTTGCATGTATATGCTCACATGCAAACAACAGGCATGCACACGCACGCACACACACACACACAAAGGCCCTGCTTCTTCTCACTGTGACATACCAACACAAAACCACACCACCAGATAGAAAGGAGGTGACGGTGACTTTACTCTCCATGCATGTATGTTCTATGAGGTCAGACAGCACAGGGTCTTAAGGGGCGAGAGTGACTGAACCCTTCTGAGCCTTACTTCAGCTATAAAAACAAATGAACCTGAGGAACTGCTTTCCATATGGGGTATAAGGATTAAGGAGGAACAATTATCTTTCCTCTACCTTTTTTTTTATAAGCTCCTTTGCTGTTCTGTATCCATCATATTTACCGTAGAACATGGTTTTGAAGCTTTGTACAGCACGTTTCATGTCTCTAGACTACGCTGCAAAGTCAGTGTTAAAATATTATTAAAGACCATTACCTTGTATAGAAATGCATTCTTGTGTCTTAGTTTCTCAGTAACACTTTCAGATGCTCCAACTCCAATTTTTTTAACCATAAAAAAGTGTGCACATGCCAACATGGCGCATCAGTCTCCCGAGTCTAGAAAGAGGTGATAGACATGGTGTTGTGGATGTGAAGGTGAGAAAGAGACAAAGGCTGTAGACTTCTGACAGGGAGGCAGCCTCTGGCTGCAGCTAAAGACAGACCAGGTCAAAAATGGCATAAAGTACAAGATGAAATTCTGGTCCTGAAAGACAAGTCTGCCAGCATGACGGATTACTCTCTCTGGCCTGTCAGCTCCAACCGCATCTCATTGAAGTCTCCATACTGACTGAAGCTTGAGAGCTCTGTGCAGCTGTCATACTGTACTGTATACCTTGTGACTGCAAATCTCTCTTTGCTTTGTGGGCTACCAAATGCCTTCAATGTGTTCTTCCCCTCTTGCCGTGTGTGTTCTATTAACCCCTGTACTTGATGGATTCTTATTCTCATCTCTATTTGATTACTGCATCTGCTGTACAAAGCAAGTCATCTGAATCTCCCAGCACCCGAGTACAAGATGTCAACAGTAACTATTAACCAAATTCACATCTATTTTCCTTTAAAAAGCTCTACAAGAGTGACTGAATTACATACCTTTCACGAGTTTGAATTAAGATGTAGTGCCGAACTCTACAGATGGAAAAAACATAGCTGGGGCTAGAAATAGAAACTGGACATTTTATATAAAAACAATTTCCCTGATTGTCTGCTTTCATGTTTATAAGCAGTTATGATAAAATTATGAAAAATATGACTGACAGCAACAGGCATCTGAAATGAAAATCACAGCAAAGCAGTTAGTTCAACAACAGAGTCACATGCATATAGAGTACAATGTATAATCTCAGGAGTGTCTTGAAACCGTTGAGGAAGATTCCTTTTGGTGTCTCACCCTCCGCAGCACTACTGTAAAAGAAATGTTATTGACATACAATATGTGACCAATGAAAAGTCATCAAATTCTTTGCATATTTTATTTTTCTTATGATTTTTTTCAACTCACACATCATATTTTACATCTTTGCAATAAAACATGAATACAATAGTTTTTATGGTTTCATAGATCCAAAAATATTTAACCTTTTTTTGGATACGTAAGTTGAACCTGTTGATACGAGTATGTGCATGTGCGCATTTTGATCAAGATGGCTTCACACATACAGTACGTCTCACATCTCAGCCCCTCTCCTCCGTCTTTCCCACCTCTATCAGCTACAGAATCATGATATTGCTTACAACTGTGAGGTTGTAAAACTTATCACATATGAGCTCATGTTTTAAATACAAACATCAATGCACAAATAATCCAGTAGGGAAAATGGACCTAAACAAAATGGCAGCCGACCAGAAAGAACCAAGCTAATAAATAATGATTTGTGATTGGTGCAAAGTGCAAATACAAAACAAACTTCTACATTGATTTCTCTTTTTTTAAATAATCAACAAATGTGGATAAGTGAAGGTTTCCTTTGCGCCTTCAGTATTATTTAGCTGATTTTGTCTCCCGCCAAGCCTGAACCAAGTCTATATGTACATATTTGACAAAACAATCACCAAATATACAAAGGAAGTCCTGTCAGTCTTGTGGTCGTCATCCTCGGTGGCACTGGCAAGATCTCTTTCTTCATCATCACCATCTCTGGCAAAACAATCCCCATCCTTGACACTGCTGTTATTACCATCGGTTTTGTCAACATTACAATAGTTATTACACAATATTTTACATACAGCAAGTCATTAATAAATTAAAGGTGATAAGCGCAGTTTGTATAGTGAAAGAACAAGTGTAGACTCTGAAGGAAGCAGAGCCTTATTTACATAGAAATCAAAGTTAACCCTGCTGCAGGTAAAAGAAGAACAAAGAAAATTAACATTACATAATAAAATAAAGCCAGTTAAAGTAATAAATAATAACCCTAGGCAAGTTTTCAAGGATGAATTTAAGATCAAGCCAATAGCACCGGTTTTTAAACAGTGGGTGGGGATGGTTCATTTCTGACCATTTCTAATCAGTTTGGATGCATCGAAGGAGTCTTAATTTATAGTCCACCCAAATAATTCCCAGACTAACCTCCCCTCAACTGAAAGGTACAAAACAAAAGTTGAAAAGAAGAAAAAAAAAACCAAAGCTTAGGTTCTTTGTGAAGCAGTAAGCGTACCATGAACAGTGACTCTAGCAGTCCTGCGAGTGGTACAGGTATGACTGACCTCTACAAGGTCTGCTTGACTTGCGCTTTTTCTCCATTCTGCACTCTATTTTATTAGCAGATTTTGGTCTGTATCTTCAGGGTATTGTGTGTCTATGGTTACACACGTGTGTGTACGTACACGTATGCAGAGAGGAGGTTATTTCTGCCAGTGATTTCTGCCGCATCCACAGATCAAGTAAACTTCTAAAGGGACTAGAGCCTAAGGTCCGGTACCAGTTTTTGCTTCCTCTCAGTACCTGTAGTTTCCCCGTGTAGCAGATACACAGCAGAATGCATCATCTCCTCTCCCTCTGGTTCTTCTCCCCTCTCCATTCTCCTCTTCCTTGGGCTGTCTACCTCAGTACCTGTTCTGGTGTTCATAATGCCAGCGGTTGAAGTCTATGTTGAACGCCACGATGCTGCCTGATGCCATGCCAGTGATCAGAGTCCTGAGGGCAGAGCACAGAGAAAGTCACATCTGTAAACTAACTGACACTCGTACTCTAGGGTTGCAGGGCATCAAGCAGTTTACTCATTGTACTTTTCTCTGAGCCAGGGACATCATCTGAGGCTTGGGTAAACAAACTGCCTCCTTGCTGAGCACCAGTAATCCCTGCTGTTCCCATGGAGGCGACCCAGTTTCCCCAACAACAGTAGTGAACGAATGTGGAATGAATGTGGCTGCCTTCTTACAAACTGCATCAACTTGTCTGTCACAGTGGCACAGGGTTTGTTTTACCTCTGATCATGTGAGAGGTCCATAGCACGAATGCCGGCGTCACAGCCTGGATAGATGTAAAGCTGTTTGAAGTCACACGCCTGCCACACTTCCACAACTCCGTTATCTCCTCCTGTCACCAGGTTCTGTCCGTCACTACTCAACAGAATTGCCTGATGAGAGGAGAAGAAGAAAGAGGTTAAAAGAAGGACCCGAGTGTGTCAGACACACACATCTTTACATAAAAAATATTATCTCTGACAGCCTTACTCGGGTCGAATCGTTGACCTCCATTTGGGCCAGCAGTTTTCCATTTATGCTGAAGTTGCAGAAGCGGCCTCTCTCGTAGTAGATGATACAGTGGCCTTCGCTGGACACCGAGATGAGGCGGGGACGCTGACACACCTCTGGCCCCTCCAAGGCCCTGAGCAGGTCCCCTGTGATAGTGTGGACTAGGCATGGGCCCTCTGAGGATCAAGAGTCAAGCGAGATAGTGCAGAAGCATTTTTTAAAATCATACAGCTTTAGTGATGGTTAGAGTAAATGTTGTGAAGTCAGTTATCAATATATTAAATAGAAAATGTCAGTTCAACCTCTAAAATGAATTCAGAAAACAAACTGTGGAAAACACAGAAGAAATAAAACATACTGGGAGTACCATGATGCTGTACACGCATCACTGATATTCACAGTGAAAATAATTTTACAAATCTAAATGTAAAAATGAAATAGGTCTTAAGCACAGACAGGTATATGAAAACACACAAACCTTTAGCTCCACTGATGACCAAACCCAGCTCTGCACAGACAGACACACACACCACCTCGTGGTCATGTCCTGTCAGTACTGCCCTGGGAGCAGGATAATCACCTGAAGAGACAACACAGTTAGATACAGATCACCATGAAGCTCTGATCAGGAGCTTCCACCTCCTGTAGAACTCTGCTGTTTTCTGAAGTACTATCTGAACTGGGAACATACTCGTGCACACACTGAGACGCACAGACACAGGCAAACATTCCCACATGCTCTTTCCACTATGTCACCACTCACTGTTGTTAGGGTTGTCCCCTATAATGTGGTGTCGTCCGCTCCAGTACCACAGAAGAAGAGTGGCATCTCTGGAGCCTGACACAATGTAGCAGTCTCCTCCGATGTAGGACTCCGACCTTGCCAGACATGTCACCACATCCCAGTGACCAAAAACAATCTGGGTCAGCTTTCCTGTAGAACAAAGATGGCTAGGTCAATGTTTGTCCTCTGCTTGCATAAAATTATACAAATACACATTAGGATAGTGGGTTAAACAAGTAGGTAAGACACTAGTGTAATACCTGTTAAATGCAATGTACTCTATGCCTACGTGCATTTGTAAAAAAGAGAGATTCCAAAATCTCTACTAGAACAATAAATAAAAACAAAAATCTAAATAAAGATGCAATTACATGAGTCTATATGATCCATATTTAAAATAGGACCTCTGACAGAATTACAAATTGCACCTTTAATAAAAAGTTGAAAAAAAATTGACAGCTAATTTATGTTGTACTTCATGGTCACACTGTCATAAACAACTAATACAAAACCTACCAGTTTCAGTGGAGTAAACACGGAAGCTCTTGTCCCAGAAACCACAGACCAGGATATAACGGTTGTCAGCAGTAACCACAAAACAGTGTGTGTTGATTTGAATGCTCTGGTCCACCAGGTCAGTGATCTGACGTTTGTTCACGCCCGAGTTGTTTGCTACATGGGTGTACAGACATGTTAGTACAGTAGGTTAATGATGGCATACAGATGCAGTACAAGCTATCTAATCAACTTCCATCCATCCATCCATTTTCCTCCGCTAATCCGGGACCGGGTCGCGGGGGCAGTAGTCTAAGCAAAGATGCCCAGACTTCCCTCTCTCCAGACACTTCCTCCAGCTCCTCCGGGGGAA